GTGAGAGGCCAGCCTAGGCGCAATCAGACCCTATTTCAGTGTCCTCCCGACAAATACCAAGGAAGTTTAGGAGAAAGGATATTTTGTTGATGCCATACATTATTACCTGGCCATTACTTCATAGTTAATAGTTCCCAGGTTCTTTAATAATTCTTTTTCTTTTTTTTTTCTTTTTTCCATCCTATGATGGATAAGGAATTTCTTTTTATTCTTTGAAATTTTCACACATTTATGTAATGTATTTTGATCATATCCATCCACTGCTCCCTTCCTCCAGCTCCCCCAGTGCCCACTGACCTTGTGTCTCTCAGTTTCATGGTCTCCTGGTTTTTGTTTTTGTTTTTTTTTTTTTTTTTTGGTTTTTCAAGACAGGGTTTCTCTGTGGCTTTGGAGCCTGTCCTGGAACTAGCTCTGTAGACCAGGCTGGTCTCAAACTCACAGAGATCCGCCTGCCTCTGCCTCCTGAGTGCTGGGATTAAAGGCGTGTGCCACCATCGCCTGGTGTTCTCCTGGTTTTCACCCATTTGCTTTGTTTTTTCATGCATTCAAATGGAAAGCTTCTTCCCTAAGAAGGGGATCATATTATTTGTTTTTCAACCCCCTTTTATGGCCTTTTTATTTTATCGTTTATTTGTTTGTTTTCATTTTTGTTTTTTTTTTCCTAGACAGGATTTTCCCCTGGTTGTCCTGGAACTTGCTCTGTAGACTGGTTAGCCTTTAACTCAGAGGTCCGCCTACCTCTGCCTCCCAAGGGCTGGGATTAAAGGTAATCACCACCATGCCTACTTCCAGCTCTTTTCAAACAGTACATAATGGGTTGGGTGAGACTGCTAAATGAATAAAGGTGCTTGCCACCAAATCTCACAGCCTGAGTTCAGTCTCTGGAGCTCATTTGGTAGGCGAGAACAGATTCCTACAAATTGTTTTGACTTCCACACACATGTGGTGTGTGCGTGTGCATTCACACAAGAATAAACAAATGTTTGTTTGTTTTTTTGAAACAGGATTTCTTGTAGCTTTGGAGCCTGTCCTGGCACTTGCTTTGTAGACCAGGCTGGCCTCGAACTCACAGAGATCTGCCTGCCTCTGCCTCCCAAGTGCTGGCATTAAAGGCATGCACCACCACTGCCCAGCTACAAATGTAATGTTTTTAACATTAAAAAATAAATTAGAAAGAAACTTAGAAAAAGCTAGCTCCAGCAATTAAACAATTCTTGTGCTAACATAGAAGCTAAATAAAATCAAGGTGCACTTTAAAAACTTTTCAGTAGCACAACCAGGTGACCCAAAATGGTATATAAATCAGTAACATCTCAGGGTTAGAGAGGGAGGTAGAAGTTGTCAGCATTGTTTTTGTGCATGGAACGTTTAAATAACCTTCCCAGTTTTCTGCCTTGTCCCAGAAGACAAGTGTTAACAGGCCATTCTCCCAGCTTTAAGCTTGCAGTGAGGATTCTAGCACACCATGTGATTTGTCCAGAGAGTTAAGCATGCAACCTTGCATAGTGTTTAGAGGCTTATTACAACCTATCTCAACCTTCCCATTTACAAAATGATATCTCCCCTTTGAGCCATTAATCCTGAATATACACGTGTGCATGAGTACGTGCGTGAATGTGTGTCTGCTGTTGTTTGTTCAAAGATCTTTGTGCTAGATGATTATACCAGGCTCTGTTCAGATGGTGCCGACCAAATTAATTCCTTTGAAAGGTTATTGATAGCCTACACTATATAAAATCTTGTGTATGAACTACCTTAAGTCTGTAGAAATATTGAAACTTAGAATATGACTGAATCATTTGTAGATTGATGGAAGACACTGGCTTATAAATAAAATTGGGTATTGTCTTCCATATTCATTGCTTATTAGAATTAAGACTGTCCGATGTGGAACTAAGAAATCACCAACGAGGAAACTTTCTTCAGATAACATTTTATAAATGGTCAGAGAGTAATATTTATTTTTATATATGTATTTTATCAAACACACATACATCTAATATGCATATATATATCAAATGTGTATATATATCAAATATATATCATATCTATATATATATGTGTGTGTGTGTGTGTGTGTGTGTGTGTGTGTAGGTCAGAGGGTGACCTTGGGCATTGATTCTTTTTCCCTTTCTAGCTTGATTTTGAGGCACAATATTTTTTGCATTTGCTGCATATGGTCCAGGCAAGCTGCCCTGTCAGGTTCCAGAAGCCTTTCAGATGGGACTCTTTCACTCTGTATGTTCCTCATGTCCCTGCCTCCCATGCCACTTAAGGCATGCTGGGGTTGCAGACATATGCTACCATTTCCAGCTTTTACAGTGGGTTCTGAGGATCTGAACCCAATCATCAGACCTGCATGGCAAGTGCTTTTCCTCACCTAGTCATTTCCCTGGCCCACAGTTTATTTCTTATATTTTATTTTATTTATTTATTTATTTTGGTTTTTCGAGACAGGGTTTCTCTGTAGCTTTGGGGCCCGTCCTGGAACTAGCTCTTGTCGACCAGGCTGGCCTCAAACTCACAGAGATTCACCTGCCTCTACCTCCCGAGTGCTGGGTTTAAAGGCATGTGCCACCACTGCCTGGCTATCTTTTTGGTTTTTTGAGATAAGGTTTCTTTGTATATCCCTGGCTGTCCTAGAACTCATTCTATAGATCAGGCTGACCTCAAACCTGGAGATCCACCTGCCTCTGCTTCTTGAGTGCTGGGTTTAAAGGTGTGCACCACCATTGCCCAACAAAATTTTTTTTTGAGATTTTATTTTTTATGTGTATGTTTGTTTGCCTGAATGTACATATGTGTGCCATGTCTGCAGTCTCCACAGAGCCCAGAAGGGAGGGCACTGGACTGGGACTAGGGTTACAAACAGCTGCCATGAGGGTGCTGGGAATTGAACTCAGTTCCTTGGGAAGAGCAGCCAGTGTTCTTAACCACTGTGCCATCTCTGCAGACCCCAGAGTTTATTTTATTTTATTAGATTTTATTTATTTATTATGTCTACAGGATTCATGCCTGCATGCCAGAAGTCACCAAATCTCATTGTAGATGGTTGTGAGCCACCATGTGGTTGCTGGGAATTGAACTCAGGACCTCTGGAAGAGCAGCCAATGTTCTTAACCTCTGAGCCATCTCTCCAGCCCCCAAGAGTTTATTTTTAAGAGTAGTTTTAGGTTCACAACAAAATTGAAAAGATACAGAGGTTTCTCAGGTATCTCCTGTGTTTACATGTCTCTGACCTTTCCATTGCTGCCACAGAGCAGTGCCCTTGTTAGACTTCTTTATCTCTTTGTGTGTGTGTGTGTGTGTGTGTGAACATGCATATATCTCTCCTGAGGACTTAACCTTTCCACCTGCTAGGCAAGCAGTCTCTACCCCTGAGCTACATTCCTGGGCCCCTTTGTTGTAATTGATGAATCCGCATGTACACATCACCGTCACTCAGAGTCTATAGCTGACATTAGGGTTCCCTCTGGGGGTTGTGCAATTACACATGTGTCCTAGGAATAGACTCACTATCGTATCTGTCCTCTGTCCTCTTTCTAGTCATCTCTTTCTCACTTGTATCCTTTCAATGGGCTTCTACACGTTGTAGCATTCTCCTCACTAATATTCCTCATGGTGTTTCATGGCTTACTAGCTCATTTATAGTGTTGACTCATTTTCCTGTTGTCTTTTTTTTTTTTTTTTTGGTTTTTCGAAACAGGGTTTCTCTGTGATTTTGGTGCCTGTCCTGGAACTAGCTCTTGTAGACCAGGCTGGTCTCGAACTCACAGAGATCCGCCTGCCTCTGCCTCCCGAGTGCTGGGATTAAAGGCGTGCGCCACCACCGCCCGGCCTTTTCCTGTTGTCTTGACACATCAGTTTATTTATCCACTTACCTTATGAAGGACATCTTGGTCATCACCAAGCTTTGGGAATCATGATCAGAGCTGCTGTAAACAACCAGGCTTTTCCGTGGACATAAGTTTCTACCTCCTTTGGGTAAATATCAAATGCAATAGCTAGCTGGGACAAGGGAGAATTCTCTTCTTATAAGAAAAGAGTTCTTGGGACTGGGTTTATAGTAAAGCCCTTGCCTTGTATTCTGCAAGGCCCTGAGTTTGCTTGACAGTTCTGAATTTTAAAAAAGAAAGAAAAAGAAAGCCAGTAACAAAAACCTGTAATCCCAGCACTTAGGAGGTAGAAGAATTAGGAGAATCAGTCATTCATGGCCATGCTCAGCTGTGTATCCAGTTGGAGGCTAGCCTGGGCTACATGAGACTTGCATCTCAAATGACAAGTAGAGTGTTTGTCTAGCACACAGGAAGCCCTGAGTTTGATTTCCGAGCACATAAATTGGGCACGGTGACATATACCTGTTAATCTAACACTTGGGAATTGAAATCAGGAAGAAGAGCAGAAGTCCACAACAATCTTTAAAGACATAACAAGTTCAAGGCTCACCTAGGCTATATGAGTATATAAGTCTGTCTCATAAAAAAAAACAACAAAAGACTTGATAATATGCATATAAAATACTTAGAAGCTTCTGCATTGCTAAGGTCCTGAAGGTGCTGGGTGGAGTAGAGAGCGCTATATCCTCATGCAGTGTCTGCTCCATCTTGTCATTTGACTGTCACTGTATCTTTCCAAACATCTTTTTTTGTTTGTTTGTTTTTTTGAGACAGGGTTTCTCTGTAGCTTTTGGAGCCTCTCCTAGAACTAGCTCTTGTAGACCAGGCTGGCCTCGAACTCACAGAGATCCACCTTCCTCTGCCTCCCAAGTGCTGGGATTAAAGGCATGCGCCACCACTGCCCGGCTTCTTTCCAAACATCTTATATAAACTGGCAAATGTAAAACAAGTCAGAAAAGTATAGAGCACCACTCTTGCTACATAGAAGCAGCCAGTATGTTCTCATGATCCTGAACATGATAAGACGTAGACATATGATGTATGGATTTTACATTTGTTTCTTACCCCATCACTGATGCTAATGCTAATTTCCTTCTTTGGTAGGTAGTTGACTTTGTAGCAGCAACACTGCAGAGAGCGTGCGCAAGTCTGGCTCATCAGGCAGAGAGCACCGTGGAATCCCAGACACTGAGCCTGTCAATGGGGCTGGTGGCTGTCATGCTGGGAGGGGCTGTTCAGGTGAGTTGTAGGTATGAGCGAAACTTGAATTTTTGAGTAGGAACGAGAACCTGCTGCCTTTCTTCCATACCTTCATGGACAACAAGAATCGATACTGCGCTCAGGAGAATCAGGATGACCAACTTGGGTTGTTAATGAGCGTTAATCTCTAACATAGAATGCCACTTCACATTGACCTGCCAGCATGTCACCGTCAAATGAACAGGGCTCTTTCCTGCATAGAACAAACTTGTTTTGGAAACTTTGAGTGTTTTGTGCCTGAGGCAGACATTCAGTTCTCTGACTCCAAAGAGTTGGTGGGAAACCCTTAGCAACCTCTTGGCTGCTCAGATGGCACCTGTTTTGCACGGTTCTACTTAGCTCAGGACCCATCGTTTAGCCCATACAGTGCAATATACTCAAGCCTGCTGCCAGTCATTTTTAAGAGTTTTGTTTTGGCCAGGTGGTGGTGGTGCACGCCTTTAATCCTAGCACTCGGGAGGCAGAGGCAGGCGGATCCTCTGAATGCAAGGCCAGTCTGATATACAGAGCATGTTCTAGGACTGGCTCCAAAGCTACAGAGAAACCCTGTCTTGAACTTCCCTCCCCCCAAAAAAGAGTTTTGTTTTGTTTTGTTTTGTTTGAGGCAGAGTCTCATGTAGCCTAGGCTGGGCTTGAATTCAATATGACATTGATGCTATTCCTTCCTGCCTCCCAGGCATTAGGATGGCAGGTGTGCACCACTATGGTTTTTACATAGTTAGTTTGTAATTTTTAAGATCTATTTCTATTTTTAAATTGTGTGTGTGTATGTGTGTGTCTATGTGTACACGAGTGCGGGTGCCTGCTGAGGCTAGACGATGGTGTCAGAGCCCCTGTGAGCTACCCAATGTGGGTCCTGGGAGCCAAGCACACAGGTCCTCTGCAAGAGCAGTCCACTGCCATCCTTCCAGCTCTAATTTATAATTTTTAATTTATTCATTCAACCACTATTGACTGCGTATTTGCCACATGATAGATCTGAGAACATAGCAGTGGACAAGACAGACGTGGCCTATAACTCACACCATAGTCCAGGAAGAGAGGCACACCCAGAATGACCATTTTAAAATATGATTAGAATTGAATGGAACACCCCAAAAAGAGGGAAGGGGGCCATGAGAACATAACATCTAAGTGAGGCTGGGAGGTCTTCAGTGAGCGAAGGTATTCCACTAAGACCTGAAGGAGGCATAGGTGTTTGAGTGTGGCGAGCATGGAACAGGTGGAAGAATCCTTTCAGTTAAGGAAACTCGTGGCAAAAGCTCAGAAGCAGAGAAAAGCTTGGTTTTTTTGAGCATTGACGGAAAGCCAGCATAACTGAGCTGCAGAGCCCTGGGGACAGCGCTGGCAAAGGCTGTCCTTTGGAGGATAGGCTGGGCTAGAGCACGCTGGTCAGGTGACACAGTAGGTTAGGAGGCCGCAAGAAAGCAGGACAGTCTCAGAGCAGGTTATGAAATCAGACTCAACAACCACAAGCAGGAGCCCCTGGGGAATGCATTTTGAGTCTGAACATTCAAATCAGATTTGATTTTTGATGTATTAGAATTTGCCTTTCTCTTATTTTTTCGCTCTGTGGTTCTGGAGATCAAACCCAGGGTCTTTCACTCCCCGCTGTGCTCCATCTCCAGCCTTCTAAGAATCATACCTGGCTAGCCTGTGTCCGTATGTTTCAGTGTCAAAAGGTGGCTCCCTCCTGCCTGTTCTTAAGGAGAAAAAGACTTTATCTGGGCTGGTTGTCAGTGCAAATCCCATTTCTTACTGGATTTCCTTAGCATTCCTAAGTTTACATTCCACACGTCATTTGACAAAATAAGTTTAGCTAAGGTTCCAGAGCCATATTAGATGTGACAAGGAAGGGTTCACAGATGGAATAGCTTAAATTGAATTGTTAGTGGATTTAATTAGCTTAGTTGAGTTTTGTTTTTCTTGTCGAATATTAATTTTGATAGTCTATACATTGAAAGCCTAGCTTGTGTGTGTGTTGTAGTTTAGTACGTATTTCAGACAATATAACACATGGACAATGAACCACAGAGCTCTCCCATCTCCCTTCTAGAAGCTTCTTGTTGGAGGCTTCTGTATTCACTGGCCAGGCCTGGCTTGTGGCGTTTGGACAGCACTTGCCTGTCCCTGCCCTGCTGTGAGCCATCCTGACTCCCTCGACTCTGCAGTTTAAGTGAATATAAACACATCACCCTCTTTACTTATGCCCTAGATTTGCTAAATTTTTGTTTCCTGCTTGATTAATGCATTAATAAGTTTTTTTTTTTCGAGACAGGTTTTCTCTGTAGCTTTGGAGCTAGCTCTGGAACTAGCTCTTGTAGACCAGGCTGGCCTTGAACTCACAGAGATCCGCCTGCCGTTTATAAGTTTTTTTCCCCTGTTCTTTTGAGACAGGTTTCTCTGTGTAGCCCTGGCTGTCCTGGAACTTGCTCTGTAGACCATGAACTCAGAAATCCACGTGCCTCTGTCTCCTGAATGCTGGGATTAAAGGCATGTGCCACCACACCTGGCAAGGGCTTCTTTTTTACATTTTATTTTAGATTTATTTTATTTTATGTGTATGAATGTTTTACCTCCATATATGTATATGTGCCACATGTGTACTCAGTACCCAAGAAGGTCAGAAGAGGGTTGTAGGATTTCCTGGAACTGGAGTTTGGATGGATCTGAGCCACCACATGGGTGCTGAGAATTTGAGTCCGGTTCTCTGGAAGAGTAACCAGTGCTCTTAGCCACAGAGCTCTCTTTCTCCAGCCCTGTAAAAGTTCCTTAGTAATGCTAGGTTTTGTCTCGTATTCACAATAAAATCACACTTGAGAACTGGGGCTAGTTGACTCCTGTCACTCTGAGTCTCTGCTTTAGAGCCTGGAACACCATGCTCTACATACTCCCTGTTAGAAGTCATTGTTTTGGCTAATGAAACAGAACCTAACAGTATCGGGCCTTTCTTCATTCCTTTCTAAGTCATGTAATTAAGGTGACTATTAAAACTTCACGTCCGGGAAGAGAGTTAATTTGGAGAAAGTGCAGGTTTAAGATTGCTAACAAGACGACCGTAATTCCATACTCACTTTCTTTTTTTTTTTTTTTTTTTTTTTTTAAAGTACATTAGGCAACTTCACATTGTTGGTTCTTTTTTTATTTATTTATTTATTTATTTATTATGAGTACAATATTCTGCCTGTGTATATGCCTGCAGGCCAGAAGAGGGCACAAGACCTCATTCCAGATGGTTGTGAGCCACCATGTGGTTGCTGGGAATTGAACTCGGGACCTTTGGAAGAGCAGTCAGTGCTCTTAACCACTGAGCCATCTCTCCAGCCCCATACTCACTTTCTAAATTCCAGGCTTGGTCATCAATAAAAGTAGCACGTTGGGGAGTCTCTCCTGTCCCCTTAGGGAGCAGTTTCTGCTTGATGTTGCAGAGCTGGTGGGCCCACTGTTGCCCTGGTTGGTGGAGCTGAATAGACCATTCTAGCCTTAGGATACACTGAAGCCATATTGTGCCAGGGTAGCAATGGAATGTATTGCTAAAGGCTGGACTCCTAACCTATAAGCCCAGATGTTGTAGTGAGGTTCATTAGTTAGATACCAAAGGTGTATCTTTTCTCTAAAGGGACAGTCGTCTTTAGCTGTTTAGGTCTTCTTGTGTCTTTCCTTTCCCTTTGTTCCTTCCATTCATTCGTACTTTCTACCTTCCTTTCTTTCCAAAGGCTATTGCTTAATAGTAAAAGAAAGTTTCCCTAAGGACTGTTGAGATGGCTCAGAGGTAAAGAGCTCTTGTTGCTCTTGTAGGATGGTTTGTGGCACCCACATGGTGCCTCACAACCATCTGTAACTCCAGTTCCAGGGGACCAGATGCTCTTTTCTGGTCTCCAGAGGCACTGCACTCATGTGGTGTATAGACATACATGCAAACAAAACACTCATACACATAAACCCCAAAACATTGTGCTAAGCATGTGCCTGTGTTTTAGGTGTAGTTGACTTATATTTAGAACCATAGCAAACTCAGGGATTCTGTCAATAGTGGTGAACAAACTAGGGATTCTGCCACAGAGTGGGGAAGCAAAGAGAGGGTATTCATGTTGTGAACCTGTTCATTCAGCAAGGAGAGTTGACTGGTTCCCCTTCTGTCCTTCCTCCCCTTCACTGGACTGGACATGCTCTCTATAGAAGATCATTCATTCTTAATTGCTGTTGTCACTCGAGCAGGTATTTCCTGCTTTCTGGTCATTGTTAATAAGCCTGCTATAGCAGCTAGTAAACAGCATGGGTGGATGGACAAATGGCAGGAAGAAAAAAGAAAGGAGAAGAGTATTTTTAGGTAAGGAGGCAATTTTGTTTTTTTCTTATTTTTTCTCTTCTTTTTAAATGTTTATCAAAGGGCATAGGCTTTTAAAAGTTTAAAAACATTGCTCTTTCCCTTACTGGGCAACTCTCAGATATCAGTACACCATGGATGTGTGGAGAACATTTGTCATGTGTTGCTACAGGAAAAGAAGACCACACATAGTGTTTTCACGGGCATTTTTGTTTGTTATTTCCTAGGAAGCCTAAATGTTTCTCAGAATTTCAAGCATTTATAGGTAGGTGGTCCTTGCCTGTAAAACCCTTATTTAGAATGCACAGTACCTTCAACCAGGACTCTGCACATGCTAAGATACTACTATATTCCTTGCCTTGATTTTGTATCTCCTTGTGACCATTTGTACATCAAAAGCTAAAGGAAGATCCTAGGTGTCTTGCTCTGTCACTCTCTGCCTATTCCCTTGAAGCAGAGTCTCTCTTTGTCTCTCCCTCCCAGCTCTGAGAGCAGGCACATGTGCAGCCATTCCCAGATTTTACATGGCTGCTGAGGATTCAAACTCGAGTCCTCGTGCTTACTCAGTGAATGCTCTTACCTGCCAAGCCATCGGCTCAGTCCCTAATTTTACATCTTTTCAGAAAATGATCTTTCAGCATCAATAATATGACTCAGCAGACAAAGGCACTTACTACACAAACCTGAAGACCTGATTTTAATTCCTTAAACTCTTGTAAAAGTGGAGGAAGAGAACCAACTCCACAAAATTGCCCTCTGACCTACAGTTGCGTGAAGAGGCACTGTGCCCCATGTGCACATACACATGCACAAATATATATATATATATATATATATATATATTTTTTTTTTTTTTTTTGAGCCTGTCCTGGAACTAGCTCTTGTAGACCAGGCTGGTCTCGAACTCACAGAGATCCGCCTGCCTCTGCTTCCCGAGTGCTGGGATTAAAGGCATGCGCCACCACCACCCAGCTTCACAAATATATTTTTAAATTATCTCTTAGTTATATAAAGACTAGTTGTCTGCAGTGCCTTCTGCATTTGAGATTAAGCCGTCTAAATATGGAATTATCTTCATTGTGTTAATTTATAAACGTTGTTAAAGATATTCAGAGCCTTATTTCTGTTGTTACCAGTGTCCTGCGAAGGTTTTTTTTGTTTTTTGTTTTTTAAATTTGCTTTAAAATACTACAGATTGATGTAAATGCTTCCAAGAACACTGAGTCTAGCCAGGTATGGTGGTACACACCTTTAATCCTAACACTTGTCGGGCTGGGGGCAGAGGCAAGGAAATGTCTGTGAGTTCAAGGCCAGTTTGGTCTTCCTGGTGAGTTCCAGGACCACCAGTACTCTGTAGAGAGACCCTGTCTCAAAAAACAAAAAACACTGGGCAGTGGTGGCGCATCCTGTGATCCCAGCACTCAGGAGGCAGAGATAGGCAGATCTCTGGGAGTTCAAGGGCAGCTTAGTCTACAAAGCAAGTTCCAGAACAGCCAGAGCTCTTACATGGAAAAACCCTGCTTTTGAAAAAGAAAAACAAATACCCAGCAAAACAAAAAGATATAGAATCTTTCAGGACTGCCAACACCCAAAAATCTAGCAGAAATAAGTATTTTTAAGAGTCCTTTATTATTTATTTGTATGTGTATATAAGAGTGTATATGCACATGTGTGTACTTATGTGTGTACAGAGGCCAAAACAGGGTATGAAGTGTCCTGTATCATTCGATTTATTGCTTTGAGACAGGATCTCTCTGCTCTGCTAGACATCAGGGAGCCCTAATAATCCTCCTGTTTCCACCGTACTTGGAGCTAGGATTATAGGTGTGCATGGAAAATGCAGTTTCTGTGTGGATGCTGGGATTTGAACTTTGGTCCTCTTGATTATGCAGCAGGTGCTCCTAACTCAGGAGCCACCTCTTCAGTCCCAGGAAGCAGTATTAAAGGATGGTTTTTAGGCAAAATATAATTTTCTTTTGTTTTTGTTTTTGTTTTTTTTTTGTTTTTTTTTTTTTTGAGACAGGTTTTCTCTGTAGCTTTGGAGTCTGTCTTGGTTCCAAATTTTGTAGACCAGGCTGGCTTTGGACTCATGAAGATCTGCCTTTCTCTGCCTCCTGAGTGTTAGGATTAATTAAAGGTATGCACCACTACTGCTCAGCTAAAATTTAATTTTTATATTCCAAAATATGACTTTTTGTTTATTTTATTTTATTTTGATACAGAATCCCAGGCTGTTTTTGAATTTATGTAGCCCTAGCTAGTCTTGAACTCAGGGTAGTTCTGCTCCAGACTCCCCATTGTGATGACAGACGTGAACCACACTGCCTGGACTGTAGCGTCTTCACTTTACACTGTGTTCTGGTTTGTGATTCTGGGCATCCTTCTTTTTTTTTGGTTTTTCGAGACAGGGTTTCTCTGTGGCTTTTGGAGCCTGTCCTGGAACTAGCTCTGTAGACCAGGCTGGTCTCGAACTCACAGAGATCCGCCTGCCTCTGCCTCCCGAGTGCTGGGATTAAAGGCGTGCGCCACCATCGCCCGGCTCCTGGGCATCCTTCTTAAGTGTCTGTTTCAAATGTAGGAACTAATTGGCACTTTATCTCAGGGCTACTGTTATGTGTGCTTGTTAACTTAGAAAAGTGCCTGTATGTGGACGGTGTTCAATAAATGTTAGCTGTAATTAGTTAGCATATAGTCTTCAGTGTTTGTCCTTGCACTGTGCTGATTGCACCATGAACATGTCATGATTGTTACTCCTTATATTCACTTCTTAACATTTTACACATTCATTTTGACTTACTGTTTTTAAATTTTCATTTTATAGTTGAAGTCAAGTGATTTTGCAGTCCTGAAGCAGCTGCTGCCTCTGTTGGAGAAGGTCTCTAATACATACCCTGACCCTGTCATCCAAGAACTTGCTGTTGATCTCCGAATTACCATCTCTACTCATGGAGCCTTTTCCACGGAGGCTGTCAGCATGGCTGCCCAAAGTACCCTGAACAAAAAAGACCCGGAATGGAAAATAGAGCAGCAACAAACCAGTCATGACACACTCACAGAAGTAGCTCCGGACCACCCAAAACAAGAGCAGGACCCTCCTAAAGCAGAGCAGGAGTCTCATGAGCCTGGCATTGCGGCAAGTCAGCCACATAGAAACATAACCTCAGAACAGTTCCAGGAGGTTCTCTTATCAGCCTGTGATCCTCAGATTCCAACCCGGGCTGCTGCCCTGCGCACTCTTTCCCGCTGGGTAGAGCAGAGAGAAGCGATAGCCCTCAAGGATGAAAAGAAGCTTCTCCAGGTGAGTAGAACACAATGCCCTCCATGTGATGATACGGTGCAGACAGCAGCCCAGAACAGACATTCATTTCGGGGGCTTTGTTTGTTGTTGTTTTGAGACAGGATTTTACTGTGGAGCCCTGGTTGGCCTTGGGCTCACAGAGATGCACCAGTCTCTCTGCCTCCTGAGTGCTGGGATTAAAGGTGCATGTCACCATGACCAGCCTAACTCAGATATCTCTTAAACACTGATCGTGTGTCTAGCACCATCCTGGGTTATCCTCCAGGAATTTATATTGTTGAGAGGTCAGATTGAGGTAGGAAGGGTGTAGAAGACCACATGGGGCTGCTCAATGGAACGTGGATAGAGTGCCAGCGTTTTTATGTATGAGCAATGTGGTGGGTAGTCAGAGAAAAATCTGGGAGAGGTTGATTTTTATATGTCTTGAACAAACTGGCCAAGTGTGGGCGTGTAAAAGACAGGCAGTGGGCCAGCATGAGCCAATTCACAGAGATGGGAGGATACCCATCCTAGGTAAGCCTCACCTTGAACTGGATCTCTCTTTAGAGGGGCGCTGGATCTAATTGGCTCTCCTCTACTCTTTTGCCTCCTTCACAGAAAAAAAAACTGTCTTGATGTTCTAAACTAATGTAGCAGAGTGCATATTGCTTAGATAGGACCTTTCCCTTTTATGGAGGTCTTTGGGACTTGAATGTGAGATACAGTAAGAACAAGGGACCTGGAAACTACTGCCTAGGACCCAATGTCAGCTTCCTGGCAGCACCTTGAACCTTTCTGAGCCTTGGTAGTAATGGAGTGATCTAGCTATTTGTCTAGCCCTTGGACTGCAAATTATAATTCTGATGGAAAACATCTATTTTAGTTAGTATGATACTGGAAGTATTGTATAATAACGTCTGCTCTTTGTTGAACAAGTCATGTATCTTACTGGCACTGTCTCTTATTCTCACAACTTCAATGTTGTGTTATCCTCATCTTACAGATAAAATGCAGACATATGCCAAGGATTTTCTGTCAGGGAAATGATACTGAACTCAGAAACCTTCTTTGAGTAACTATTAGCCCCCAAGGATCCTGTGGAATGCTAGTTTAGATAATGCATGTTGGGACCACCTTTGGAATTTCCTTTACCTGCATTTCATCTCCACTGCTATGTTCACTAAATTTTGCCAATTATTTTTTACGAAGAAGTTCGTAAAATATATCCCTTATTTGTGATTTGTATGTATGTGTGTGTGTGTGTGTGTCTGTGTGTGGCATGTATGTGTATGCAGGTGTGGAGGCCAGATGTCAACTCTGGGTGTCCTCCTCTTCCACTCTACATCTTATTTTTGAGAGAGTCTCTCACTGGACCTGGAACTCACCAACTGGTTAACTGGCTGCCTAGCAAGCTTCTGTGATGCTCTGTCTCCACCTATCAGTGCTGCGCTTTGCAAGAGGATGCTGAAGAACCTTAGTCTTCACACTTGCTTGGCAGGCACTTTACCCACTGACTCATCCCCAGCCCCTAGTCCTCTCCTGTTTTGTTTTTCTTTTTTCTTTTTTTGAGATAAAGTCTCAGGTAGACCAGGCAATTCTTGAACTTGGTACGTAGCCAAGGGTGATCCTGAGGCCCAGATCTTCTTGCCTCTATCTCCAAAGGGCTGGGATTGCAAGAGTGTCCCATCATGCCAGACTTAATTTTGAATTTTTGAAACAGGTACTCATGTAGCCCAGACTGATCCTCTACCTATACCTCCCAAGTGCTGGGATTACAGGTATGCACTACCACACTCTTGTCCTTTTTATTTTTTAAATTAGTTTTTGGTTATCTTGCAAGAAAATGTGTTTTATTGTAAAATTTTTGTATGCCCACATTATTGTGTTTTACTTATTTATTTATTTAGGTTTTTTTGAGATAGGGTTTCTCTGTGTATCTCTGGCTGTCCTGGAACTCACTCTGTAGACCTGACTGGCCTCAAACACACAGAGATCCTCCTGTTTCTGCCTCCCTGAGTGTTGGGATTAAAGGTGTGCACCACTACTACCTGACTGTATTTTATTTTTATTTGTCCCCTGCATTTCTTTTCTCATTACTATGACAAAACACTTGACAAGCAATTTAAGGAAGAAGGGATTGATTCATGGTTCATAGTTTGAGAATACAGTCCATGATGGCAATAGATGGCAGGGGACAGGTTTGAGCCGCCTTGTGTCTGCAATCAGGAATCAGAGGCAGGTGAATACTCAGCTCCTTTTCTTCTTTAAAAAGAACAAACAAACATGTTTTTGTTACATTTAAATTTTTATTTTGTGTGGTGGGGTGGGTGAAGTGTGTGGGCCCCACAGTGAGTGTATGGTGACCAGAGGACAAATGGTAAGGAGCCGGGTCGCAGGGCTGGATTCAGATGTCTCTCAGAAGCAGCCGTCTCTGCCTGTTTCTAGCTCACTGACTTTTCTTCTTCTTCTTCTTCTTCTTCTTCTTCTTCTTCTTCTTCTTCTTCTTCTTCTTATTCTCATGAAAAAAAATCCCTTTTTTTATTGATATTTATTGAGATCTACATTTTTCTCTGCTCCCCTCCCTGCCTCTATCCTTCCCCCTCTTCAATCCTCCCCCAAGGTCCCCATGCTCCCAATTTACTCAGGAGATCTTGTCTTTTTCTACTTTCTACTTCCCATGTAGATTCGATCTATGTAAGTCTCTCTTAGTGTTCTCATTGTTGTCTAAGTACTCTGGGATTGTGATTTGTAGGCTGTCTTTCTTTGCTTTATGTTTAAAAACCACCTATGAGTGAGTACATGTAATAATTGTGTGTCTGGGTTACTCACTCAAAATAGTGTTTTCTAGCTTCATCCATTTTCCTGCAAAATTCAAGGTGTTATTTTTTTCTGCTGTGTATACTCCATTGTGTAAATGTACCACATTTTCCTTATCCATTCTTTGATTGAGGGGCATTTAGGTTGTTTCACAGTTCTAACTCCTTTCTTCTTTTGATTCAGTCCAGGACCCCAGCTCGTGGAGTAATGCCACCCACAGTTAGGGTGGGTCTTCCACCTCAATGAACCCAGTCGAGAAATTCCCTTATCGATGTGCCCAGAGGTTTGTTTCTGTGGTTACTAAATCTCATCAAGTTGGCACTCAAGATTAGCTATCATACCTCCCACAGCTGTCCTCCCGGCCCCACTCCTGACCCTTGCTGATTCCTTTCTTCCCCGAGACGAAACCCGTGCTTTCATGGCATGTATGTTTTATAACCATCTCTTGTTCCTCTCTTTTCTCTACCTTTTAGACCTCTTGTCTTAGTTAAGGTTTCTATTGCTGTGACCAAAAGCAACTTTGAGGAGAAAAGGATTTGGTTTTCATATCCTAGGTCACAGTCCGTTTAGGGATGCCAAGGCAACAGCTCAAGGCAGGACCTGGGAGGCAGGAACTGATGCAAAAGCCATGGAGTAGTTCTGCCTGCTGGCTTGTTCCCCTTGTCCTGCTCAGCTAGCTTTCTTATATCACCCAGAAGCACCTGCTCAGGAGTAGCACCACCCACAATGTGCTGGGCCCTCCCACAAAATGCCCTCTAACTTTGCCTACAAGACCAATCTGGTGATGGACATTTTCCCAATTGCAGGTCTGTTTTCCCATATAACCCTAGCTTTTGTCAAGTTGGAAAAAAAAAAAAAACAAGGAAAGAAAGAAGAAAAATTGCAGTGAGGACACCTGTCAATTCTTTTTCTGTGGAGTCTTTAAAATATTTCTTATATTTTATTCTCATGGCTCTGACTCTGTATTGTTTCCCTCACTCCATATGCAGCCCCAGTGTCCTCCAACCCAGTCATCATCCCATCTGGTCTTCAGCTCTCCCTCAGTAGTGTAGACACCAAGCATGAAGTTGAGACCAGATTCTGTTGAGCAAAAGACCCTGAGTGGTCCATGAGTAGGCACTCCTGCCTTCCCTAGACAGCAAGCAGGAGGAATTTGAGCACATGCTCCATGTTAGGGTCTAAATTTAACATGCATCTAGTGTCCCTAGGTAGACCGTACTGCATTTGACACCCTGATAAGTGCCTCCTTTGGGAAAGAATGAGAGTAGTTTGTTAGCAGTGTCAATCACAGGGCTACAATTTGTAGGATTTAAAAAAAAAAGTGGCATAGACATGAAATTGCCTCTGTAATAAATCCATCGTCTCTCCCTTGCGTCCCCACCTGCTGGTAGCTCAGAGGACAGGATCACCTGTGTTGAAATGTGGTCCACCATGGGCCAGCACAGAAAAGTGTTGAGGATTCTTCTTAAAAAGGTTTATGGATATTACTGTGTGTGAGCATGATGTATATAGAGTGTGAGCGTGTCACACACGTGCTGCCGTGTGTCTATGGAGGTTTGTGTGAGTGTGCACACACGTGCTGCAGTGTGTCTGTGGAGGTCTGTGTGAGTGTGAGTGTGCACACACGTGCTGCAGTGTGTCTGTGGAGGTCTGTGTGAGTGTGCACACACGTGCTGCAGTGTGTCTATGGAGGTTTGTGTGAGTGTGCACACACGTGCTGCAGTGTGTCTGTGGAGGTCTGTGTGAGTGTGCACACACGTGCTGCAGTGTGTCTATGGAGGTTGTGTGAGTGTGCACACACGTGCTGCCATGTGTCTGTGGAGGTCTGTGTGAGTGTGGGCACACACGTGCTGCAGTGTGTCTGTGGAGGTCTGTGTGAGTGTGGGCACACGTGCTGCAGTGTATCTGTGGAGGTCTGTGTGAGTGTGAGTGTGGGCACACATGTGCTGCAGTGTGTCTATGGAGGTCTGTGGGAGTGTGAGTGTGGGCACACATGCTGCAGTGTGTCTATGGAGGTCTGTGGGAGTGTGAGTGTGGGCACACACGTGCTGCAGTGTGTCTGTGGAGGTCTGTGGGAGTGTGAGTGTGGGCACACACGTGCTGCAGTGTGTCTGTGGAGGTCTGTGGGAGTGTGAGTGTGCACACACGTGCTGCAGTGTCTGTGGAGTCAGAGGATAACTTTGGTAGTTGGTTTTCTTCTATTATCATAGGACCCAGGGACCAAATTCAGGTTCCCAGGTTTGCACATCAAGTCTTTATCTGTTGATTATTCTTTATGTGTTGATTTCTATAACTAGTGCTGGTATATACTTGATAACTTCAAGAAGTTTCTCCCCCTAATTTCCCTCCCCTCTTAAACTGCTAGAGAAATTGGACTTCAAGCAAATAAACCATTTTCCTCACATGGTTGGTTCTATGTCAGACTAGTTTCTACCAAGAAGAAGAACATGTGCTTCTCAGAGACGGTGGATAAAGGGCTCCATGTCTTTTTGCTCTTTGAGAACCATCTTACCCTGTTTTGTGCTTCCAGATATTCTTGGAGAACTTGGAGCATGAAGACACTTTTGTGTATCTGTCTGCAATTCAGGGTAAGCTATCGTGGACCAAAGATGGCATCATGTTTACTTGAGGGATACAACCACCAGATATGACTGGTCATTTTGTCCATCTTTCCTCTTCCTACGTGGGATACTCTGAGTGATAATAATGGCATTCTAGAGTTTCCATAGGGTTCTTAGAAAGTTTCAATGTCTCATAATGATGAAGTTTTATGTTTACTTTATCATTCTATAGATTAAGTGCCATTTCCTTGGTTGAGAGAGGTAAAGAACTCATCCATAAACTCTTGCAATGTAACCTTTTGTGGGGCCAGTGAGATCTCAGCAGGTAAAGGCACAGGCCCTAAGCCTGAGGCCTGGAGTTCCATATCCAGGATCCACGTGGTGGAGGGGAAGAACTACAAGTTGTCCTTTGATCTTCATGGGACACACATGGGCATACACACACACACACACACGCCACAAGGTTTTGAGTTTTCAAATGTTTTTGGTTTCATTTTAATGGTTTCTGTTTTGTTATTCTTGGTGATTTTTTTTTTCTGGTTTTGTTTTTGGTGTGGGGTGTCAAGAGCTAGGGAGTAAATCTAGGTCCTCACACATTCACAAGTAAGCACCACCCTCAGCTTCAGGTATTTAATATTTTCATTAATATTTCTTCATTTAAAAAACCACACACACACGCACACACATACACACACACACACACGCATACACACATGGGGTGGAGAGATGGCTCAGCACCTGAGTGCATACTGTGCCCCTGCATTCATGTTAGGCACCTCACAATGACATGTAACTCTAGCTCCAGAGGATCTGATGGCCTCTTTTGGCCTCTGTGAGCATTGCATATATGCAATACCCATACCCGTATACACATAAATAAATAGTAAAAATCAAGACACATATGGGGCCATATGTGGTGACACAAATCTTTAATATAGCATTCAGGAAACAGAGGTAGGTGGATCTCTCTGATTTCCAGGCCAGCCTGGGTCTATAGAGTGAGTTTCAAGACAACCAGAGTTACAGAATAGGGAGACCCTGTCTCCAAAACCCTAAAAACAAACAAACAAGCAAGCAAATAACCCATATAGAGCAGGAATATAACTCAGTGGTTAGAACATTTGCTTAGCATGTATAAATCTTCCTAACACTGGGGAGAAAACATGGAAATCATTTTATTTCTTCTCTGAGGTTCTTTGTTCTCCACACTTCTATTGGTTTATAGATTCCAGAACTAGAGGAGAATAGAAAGTTGGGCACCCTTTCCAACAGGATCAGAATCACAGTGAGAAAGCTAGAGTTGCCTCAGTTTCCTTTGATGCAGAACTGAGATTCTGGAGGCAGACTGCCTAAGTACACTGCTTCTCAGCTGAACAGGCTTTGGCAATGACGTTAGGCCTCTTGGGCTCCAGTTTCCTATCTGTTAATTGGAACTCAGTGTGTGCATTAGTTATTTTTCCTCATTGTTACAAAATACCTGACAAAAAAAGCACCTTAAGAAAGGAAGTGTTGCCAGGCAGTAGTGGCACACGTCTTTAACCCTGGCACTCAGGAGGCAGAGGCAGGCGGATCTCTGTGTTCAAGGCAGCCTGATCTACAAAGGGAGTTCCAGGACAGCCAGAGCTACATAGAAAAGCCCTGTCTTAAAAAGAAAGGGTAGGGGAGAGGAGAAAGAGAGAAAGGAAAGAGAAAAGGAAGCATTTGTTCTGGCTCACAATTTGAGAGTACAGTCCATCCAGGTGGGGAAGGCATGGCAATAAACAGAAAGAGGATTAAGGGAGACAAGATGACCACCCCAGAGGCAAGAGGACAACTAGGAGAGTTGAGAGTTTCCAGAGAAAGTAATTGACCTGCAGCTGTGGAGGTCAGACAGGCTGGGGCTCACGCAGGTGCGACTACAGCCATGAAGTAACACTTAAGGAAACCAGAGAAACCAGTGACTGGAGAACCCAGGACACCTCTAAATATAAGCCTCAGACACCAAGTCACCTGTGCTTTTTCAAGGAGATGGTTTTCACAGACTTTCTTGTCTGTTTTTAGGTCTGAGTTTTTGAAAGTGGTGTGTCATTCTAATGTGGCAACATTCTGCCTGTCAAAGGCTCAGCTTATTAACCCATTGATCTCATTAGCCTCTGGGATCCCCTATAAAAACTGCAGCTGTTGGTGTTGCATGTGTTTTCGGTGGTTTTAATTGGTGTGCTAATCAGTTAGTGATGAATAACAGGACAGGTAGGGGGAGGTGGAATTTCTGTTCTGCCTCCCCAAGATGGACAAGATTGAACTAACTGATGTTTTTGGTGTCGGTTATATGTACTTAAAAGCCAAGGCCTTAAGTGAATTCCCATTAAGAGAAGCAGGAGGTGAATTTTCCCACTTGTGTGTTACTTGCACAGGCCCAAGTTATTCCAAACATGCTGTTCTGGTCGTTTGTAATAAGGGTACTAGAGAGTACTCTGGGGAGCACTTAGTTTTGGGGGTCTGTGAATGCATTTAATCTTTCTTTTTCTCAATCTGCCTGCATGACTCTATGGATACTTCCCACTCAACTCAGTGATAGTTTGGGTTTTTTTTTTTTTTAAACATATTCACCAATTCTGTCTGCAGTCCAGGCAAAGAGCAGAGAGGGGCTGAGTATTCATTCCCACAGTAGATATCTCTTCTTGTCTTATTTAAGAATTCCTGCTACATGTGTTACCTGTTCATGTAGCAGTCTAAGAACTAAATCCCTGAATAGTTAAACTTGACTTTGTGAAAAGATGTCCGCATATCTGCTATTCATACCGGGCAAGTGCTGGAGCTAGCAGCTGCTGCAGATAGGAAGCTGTGTATAAAGTTGCTGACACCTTTAAATCTAGCACAGAGAAGCAGAGGCAAGTGAATCTTTGTGATTTGGGGGTCAGCCTGGTTTACAGAGTGAGTTAGAGGCCAGCTGTGGCTACTGAGTAATATCCTGTGACAAAAAAAAATCAAAAATTTTTTCAATGATAAGGAATTGTATACAAAGCAGAAGTCCTGTCTTTCCCAAAATAGGAGTTAAGACATGTCTGTGATTATCCCTTAATGTGTTGAGGGTTGAGGATTGTGTGTGTGTGTGTCTGTGCACGTGTTTTGCACTTGAGGGTATGTATACAAGCATGTATGTGGAAGCCATGTGTTGGCACTGGTTACCTTTGTTGATTACTCCTACTTCATTAACTAAAGCAGGGTCTCTAGCTGAACCTGGATTTTTCTGATTTGACTAACTAGTCAACTTACCCCTGGGATTCCCTCTGCCGCCGCCTAACTGCTGGGATTACAGTAGCTGCCATCTCCACCCAGCTTTTATGTGGGTTCTGGGGATCCAAACTCCGGTCCTCATGCTTGCATGACAAGTATCTTACCTACTGAGCATCTCCTCAGCCTGCACTGTAAGACTCTTAAGGGCATGTCGCTCCGTTGTGATGAATGTGGTAGACACATGAGTAATGTTCTTCAGTAAGCTCTTGTAGCCAGACAGTTTAGCCAGCTACGAATCTGCTCAGATGTCCTCAAAGTCATGTCCTTGAAGAACAGTCTACATTTCAGGGGTCCCAATGATCCTTCTGAGTGTCAAAAGAATCTTTGGCTGTGTTGGTGTTGTTTTGAAGATCATTAGGATTGAACCCAGGGCCTCTTTCTTGCTACAGAGGCACACTCTTAGGCCCAAAATGTCTTTGATAAAACAATTATAACAAACAGGAAGAAAGAAGGAAGGAAGGAGGGAGGGAGGGAAGGAAGGAAGGGAGAAAAAAACCTATACACTGAGCCAAGACATGGAGGTGAAAGTATGCTATTGTGTAAAGGAAGGGATAGACATTTTGACATGCCCAGACAAATCACACCCTTTTCCACCCTCTTTTTCTTTTCTTTCAAAAGAGCCAAAGGGAACCAAGGCAAAAGGCACAGAAGGGGGGCGATGAGTGTATATACACGATGACAAGATTTTTACAGAGTTTCCAACTAAGCAGAATTACAAGCTTTAACTTGTCAGGCACCAACTTTTATCTTATTCTCAGATTTCTACCTCAAGTAAAGTAAGAAACCATTAGCTGAAAACAATTCTCTGTCTCTTAAGGATCATCTTATTAGATCTGGTGTGGAAATTTGGACTGTAGTCGTGTGAACTTTGCCTTCTCCATTTTTGTCCTTGAAACTGGAAGGTTTCTTTCTGCTCCAATCTGGTTTCTTAGTGTCTCGCTGGCAGTGTCTATTCTGTTTGTGCTTAGTAAAGTCATGAAGTTGGCAGGGAAGTAGACATTATCTTCATCCTTTCAAACTTATTTGAGATATAATTTACATTCTGAAAATGCCTCAAATTAAAAGGTGCAAGTCAGTGTTTTTTAGTATATAGAGATGTAACCCCAACATTTGGAAGATCAAAACGGGAGGATCCAAAGTTCAGAGTCACCCTTGGCTGCTTTAGTGAGTTTAATGCCAGCCTGAGCTATGTGAGATTCTTTTTAAACCCCCTTCCTCCCCTACAAAAAAAAAGGGGTCTGGGGAGATGTCACAGTTGGCATAGTGCTCAGCTCGAAAGCCCGAGGACCCAAGTTTCATTTCCAAGGACCTATGTTTTGCTGAGGGCAGAAGTGCGTGTCTGTAATCCCAGCACTGAGGAGATGGAAACAGATGGATCACTGGAGCTCACTGGCCAGCCTGCATAGCTGCATTGGTGAGTGCCATGTTCACTGAGAGGCCTTTTCTCAAAAAATAGTCTGGGGAAAGCTTGAGGAAGACACTAGTGTTGACTTCTGACCTCCTCATGCATTCACACATATATATGTGCACCTGATGTACATATGCACACACATGAACATACGTATGCATACACATATACCCCAACACACAAATTTTTGGACACAAAATTTGGACAGTGTAGTAGTTTGTGTAGTTTGAATAAGAATGCATAGTCATCATGGGGTGGAACTACTTACAAGGATTAGGAGGTGTGGCCTTGTTGGAGGAAGTGTCACTGGGGATGGGTTTGAGGTTTCAAAAGTCCATGCAGG